TTGCAATCAGTCAACCGATGCACACATTATCATTCCTTTCCCCATATTGCGTTGATCTGGTTAGGGGTCAGCATCATCTTTCTTGATTTATGAGGACTGCATCACCAGAGGGAGTAGGGAGCAGGCACGCTCGATTCCTGTCCGCGCAGGGGAGAGAGTGGTATGCTAGAGGACCTACTGACACAGACACAGCAGCACGATTGGAGCGTTGAGAGCCTATAGGCGAGACTAGAATTCACTGGTTGTGGTGGCAGCGTGGTGATATTCAGTTCGGAGAGTACGGCCTAAAAATTCAAGAAATGCTTAATCTTCTCAGTTAACCTGTCGCACCTTCATTTGCAAGCATAAACAGTTTGCAGTTCGGATGACCCGAAATGTTGGACAAACCCAGGAGGCATCGGCTACTTTAAGGTGCTGTCTCACCTCTTGGGTCGATTTCCTTACACATCTAGGATAGAACAACCGAATGAAATTTGTGCGAGCTATTCTGGTCCTAAGGACGTAACTGCGCATGTCCAAAGCGCATAAACGCTAAATCATGTCTAGACTGAGGACTATACTTTTCTGATCAGGTGTCTATTTTGAGGGTCACTGCAACTTCTGGATCAAAATTGAAACGATGGTTAAGGTCAGCCAGAGATTGACAGGCCACCAAGTTGCGCGGCTGTTGAGACATATTGGTCGGCTTCCAGGTAAAAGTGGAAAACTAGTACATGTACAAAGCTAGATGCGAAAAATTTATAAGCACTGGATCCCAAATTACAGTAAAAGTTACTTTAGTAATACCGATTAGTAGCTAGTCCGGGCTTATAAAAAGGCTACAAGATTATTCTGTGGAACACACTAACACCATTCGTTAAGACAAAGTAGTCGAAACTACTTGGAGCTTTAACCCCAAGGAACAATTTCGCTCAAGTTGTCGCCGATAGTAGTGCAAATATGTACGATGTGAATGAGTGTAAGCTGAATGTTCATTCAGAAGATGGAGGGGAATTAGTCTGTGCAAATGAAGGGCACAAAACGATACGACCGCATGTCAGAATTTTAACATATTTGAAAATAACGCTCTTCCATTATTTTAACTTTTTCAGTTACGTACGTGCAACTATTATATGATGAAGAATATCACGTAAAATTAACTGACTTCCAGTGTGGCTAGTTGATGCGTTGCATGTTACCAAATTAAAGGCAGTGCTAATCCTAGCTGCTTTAGGACACGTATCGTGAACGTCGTTGAATAAAAATAATGCACCAGAGGACATTGACTACGCGGAGCTTCTTATTATACCTAGAGAATATGAATGGCGCGGTGACCGGTGCTCTTCGAAATGATTTGGAATACTGGTAGCTCAGGAGCATTGTTCAGTTATTGTGAGGTGCTCCGAGTTGAGCAATTTGATTGTAAACATTTCTCCACCAATCGAGGTGGCATCTTCAGTGCAGGATTAATGGCAGTCAGATAGCAGGAGCTGGTAGCAAGTAAACACAATAATGGATACTGTCAGCAACCAGTTCTTTCCTCATATAGGCATATGGGGCTATTAAGTTTACCCCCTTCTGATTGGTGCATCATTGTGTTCCGCGGTCGTACTCGGGCCACTCTCATTGGCTGCGCGAATGTGGTTGCGGCCCGGTTGGGAATATCACGTTCGGATCGGTGAAACGGGTGTGGGTGCGCAGTCTGGGCTTACATTGAGCATTCTGTTTATTATCAGGGTGTTGGATTAGGTCCTTTCGAACAACAGTTCTTAATCCTCTTGGGCTCTCTGTATCAGCGGTTGCTATATTGGGTGAATATAGATACGCATATTGATTGAGTTCGTGTTTGAGAACCAGGTTTCGAAAAAACCCTTTTTGTGTTTATCCTTCGGTCAAGAGCTCTAATTTTTCTAGTAGAAGCTGTGTCCCTCTTCAACCAAATGTTCTGAAACCAAAGAGGTTGCGTACTGTTTCTTTCACGCTCCTTGGTGTTCATGTATCCTTGAGGACAGCTGCCTTCTGGTTTGTCCCACTAGAGATTTTCAGAGTTTACGCACTTTATTCTATATGACATTCCATCATTCTAGTGTCTCTCGCTTTCCTTTTGCCATGGACAATGTTTTCCTCAGGGTGGCGTTTGGCTTGTGGGATACCATGATATGATGTTGTTTGGACAATCTGACCATCATTGCAGATACGTTCTTTATGTACTGCTGAACTATACATTCCATCATAGCTGATGTGGGTTCAGTTTTTGATGGCTTACGGTTTAAGCGTCTTCGGAGGAAATTGTGTGGGTAACGGTTGCGTACAAAGTACTTGAATAAGTAGCAAATTGGGTGTTGCCCGCCTGAAACCACTGCACTCCATGACGCGTTTCGAGGTTATTTCCTCTCATCAGATAGAGATAGCAGGCATCGAACCCGTGTACTTCAAATTCACTTTCCAATCTACTTGAATAAGTGTTTTTCTTCCGCTCGTTTTGCAGCTGTCGTACTGCAGTTAGTTGCTATTCTAAGGAACAGTGTCTGCGCACAGCTTATTTTGTGGCATCTTTGGTGGTTGCTGTTGAACTTCAAAAGATGATCTGTGTGCTTACTTTTTTCTGTAAACTGATGTTTGCAACTCTCCTCCATTGTTCTGATTACTGACACATCCAAGAAAGGAAGTTTGTTTTCTTTCCCTTATTTCATGGTAAACTGGATGCCGTCCATAGCGTCGTTAAGCAGTTGTTGTGCAACCGATACTTGACTACGTTTGAGTATCAAAAAGGTATCATGGGAGTAGCGAACCCAAAGTTTCGGAGTAATCATTGGTAGTAGCTCCTCTTCCAATTTTTGCATGACAATCTCTGCGATGAGTCCAGATAGGGGTGATCCCATCGGTGCACCTTTCACCTGTTTATGCATATTTCCGTTGAAGGCAAAGCATGTTTTGAGACATAGGTCAAGAAGTGTGCATGCAAGTTTGGTCGTCTTGTTCCCAATCTTCTCTCCGCTGTTCTCCAGACGTTTTGCCATGACTTCTTTGGCCAGCTATAAGTGGATGGAAGTAAATAGGGCGGTAACATCGAAGAACACCATGGTTTCATCGTGTTCTATTCGTAGGTCTTTGAGCTTCGTCAGGAATTGTTGGGCTAAGTATATGGACTGTTATGATTTACTGCTTAGGAGCTTGAGGCGCCTCCATAAATCCTTTGCTAGATAATAGGTGGGCGTGCTTGGAATTGACAATATTGTTCGTAAGGGTGTTCCAGATTTGTGTACTTTATGTAGTCCATAGAATTGTGCAATGTTCGAGTCTCGAGCCCTCGTTTTATCTCGTTCCGTTTCCGCCAACGCTCCGCCAACGCTCTGTTTATTTTGTTGGTTAGTTTCGATCTTGGGTCATTCTCAAAGCATTGGTAGGTTGTCGTATCGCCCAGGAGTGGCTTAGCTTTCTCGATGTAATCTGCTTTTTCCATAATTTCTGTCGTCCGCCCATTATCAACAGGCAGGAAAACAATCGATCCGTCCGATTTCACAGCTTTTATTGCTTCTTCCTCTTGTCGGTTAAGAGGGTTGAATTGCATTAATTGCGTCATGGCGGAGACGATAGTATTTCTGATTTGTTTCTGTGTTTTTTCGTCTAGTAAGTTAGACTGCAAGGCGCTTTCAAATCGTGCCAGAAAATCCGTAGTTGTCGTGTCTTTTTAGTTATAATTTAGGCTTCTGATGAAAGAACCTAATCCTACGCCCTGATAAAGAACAGAATGTTCAGTGTGAGATCCGACTTCTCACCCACACCTGTTGCACTAATCCGAGTGCTTTATTTTCAACCACGCCGCAACAGCATCCGCGCAGCCAAGGAGAGTGGCTCGAGCACGTCCGCGGAACACAACGCTTCACCAATCAGAACGAAACAAACGTGCTAACACCGTATGCCTATATAAGGTACGAAGTGGTTGCTGGCATTACCCGTTATTGTGTTTGCTTGCTACCAGCTCCTGCTACCTGTCTGCCATTAATCCAGCACTGAAGATGTCACCTCTACTGATGGCGGAAAGTTTGAAAGGAACTTGCCCAGCTCGGAGAACCCCACAACAACTTGAGGAGTGCTCTGTAAGCTCCTTACGATTGCTGAGATTATCTGGTTTCTAGGTTTACCAGTTGCAACTTCATGCGTCTCAACTGCAAAGAAAACTCAATTTAGTTGATGGTGACTGGTTTGTACAACTAGATTTTGTAGGAACGCCTTCCCCGATGTGTCCTGGTACGAAGAAACAAGTGTTCCATACAGCCACCTTTTTGTGTTAACCACGGAAATTATGTTTCAACGAGGCTATCTCAGGGACCTAATAATCCATTTTAGTTCATAAAATCAAATGACTCTGAACTGTTTTAAGGCGATGCAATAATGCTGGTGGCAGATCTATAAAATGTCAGCTCCTTGGAGCAAACTTTTCCACCGCGGTGCTGTATCGTGTGTAGCATTCGAAAACATGTTAAGCCAAGTTGCATAAACTACTGAAGTCATACTTTTGTGACGCTGAAGGTAACGATTTGGAGGAAGAATGAAGAATAACTAGAACTGGCTAGGACCGCAACGGGCGCAGACATCATGGATTATATGAGATGGAGCAACGCAAGTCCCACAATACGAGTAGGGAGCGTTTCGCGAACAACTAACGGTACAGTGCCTGAGCCAGAGAACAGAGGGCATTTTCGAAAGGCCAGTAACTCAAACAGAAACCTTTTTTCGGTGCACCTAGAAGAAACCACCAAATCGATCAAAGTAACGCGATCAAGCACATCAAGATCCTTAGAATAAGTCCAGGCTGGTCAGAATGCCAGTTATGAAAGAGGAGATACGGGGTCAGACAGGCAACCGAGGTCCAAAAAGTTACAGACAAAGGACGCACGAATGTGACATGTTGTGGTTCACTATTTATGTTGCTTTGTGGTGCGGAAACGGGGCCGAGATATGCTCGCATGCGTGCAACTTGTTGAACTGTGGTCGCGTGCAGTAAAGATGGTGCATTCGTGACACTTCGTTCTTGCTACAATACCACTTCTTTTTTCCGCTCTTGAGAATTAGGTTTGATACGGTATTTCCTAGGCAGGTCGTCATGAATAAATTGCTACAACGTTTGGAGAACGCGCACTACTCATGAGTCCCATTAACTCAACCAGTTTTTTCTCAGTTGTTCAGCTACGCGTAGTGGCCATGTGTTGTCACGGGATACACAACCAAACTTTTATAGAAAAAAGGATACAAGCAGTTGCCTTCATTACTGGCTATACCACAGTGTGTTATCGTGAGAATGCTGAGGAAGCACTCGGTATTCAAAAAGTTACTAGCAGCCAACTAGGTAAAAACCATCATTTGGTCGATGGTAAAATTACTTGTGTTTGCTCTAGTCATAAAATTAGTATATGCGCTTGATCGTCTTGCTTAACGAAGCTTCCATAATAACAGATTCCCCAATTTTAAATATGCAAAAATTGCAAAAGTTATTTAGTAACTCTTTTCGATTTGTCGCTGACAGTCAAATGAAAGAAAAACTCACCATGGCATTTAAATAAGTAGTGTAAGGTTTACATAGCAGTTATTTTCAAAACCATTACCTAACTGATACTATCTTTTGCGTTTATTAGGACAGTGCCAGAAATCATAAACACGACATTTTTCCTAAATTTGTAAATTTATTCTCATTAGGTGAGGTATGGCTCAATGAAGGTAATCAGTGTGGATGTCATCAGTAATATGTTGGAAGATTCTGGCGCTAATTGCATCATGTTTATACCCCGGAGAAGTTGTCCAAATGTGAGGCAGTTCATAGACTCAAATATATGTGTAACCTCTCACAATACAGACGCATAATCATAGCAGCATTGAAACGCATGATTCTTGACGCGTGTTATATAGCAGCAAAAATCTTATTGAGTTCATCATCAGCCTTGTTAGGAAACGAACTGAGCGAGTTATTTTAATTGGTTCCTCATGATAGTGGCAAAATACTTAGAACACTGCGTAGAAAAAATAGCTAACCTGGAGAATTGAACTATAAGGGAGTCCCAAACTTCTGTTGATTACGCTAAGCAGTGGACATGTTGAACAGGTTGGGCAGCGCATGAGCTAATAGTCCCTAGCAATGATACGTAAGACTCGTGCAAATACGGAACATTAGAGAAGTTGGATGCAACTGGACCCAACACGTGGTTGGCGGTATCTGGTTTCGGATTTGCGTGTCACTGAGGCCTCCATGGGGACAGCCGCAGGAAGCCTGCGCCTACAAAGAGACCAAGACTGGCTTTCGCTGCACCACCCACAGCTCCAACCACGCAACCCATATCCAGTTAAACCTGAAGGAATAAGACCGGGAGGCGTGTGAATGGGAGCCAATTTTCATCAATGGGACGGCACAAACTCCTTCACAAGCAAACACAAGCACGCTGTATTTGGGAATCAAGCACACCCAAGGCGGTGACTGGACCTTAGTATGCTCCACACTAATGCATGGAACCACGCTTTGAACCTAGCACGGCCACAAGGACCGTGCAACCCGTCCCATCCAGCAACGAGCAACTGTCTCCTGGAGCCAGTATGGAAGAGGTGTTGAGTAGTAGACAAGCAGGCACCTTGTCAACATGCACAACACCTATTGTACAGGCTAAAGGAATAGTAATCAAATCAGCAAGTGCTTGCTACCTTGAAGCAGGAGACACATCAGAGGTTTGTGGAAATAGCAAAACAGCCAGTAAAACAAATGGACGTTGAGGAGGTACAAACAAAAGCAAAATCAAAGGTTATAAAATATTAATGGTATGTTTCCAGATGAATTAGAAACATTAAGGATTGCGATCCTGTTTGAGTAAGTTATCTGTTAATGTTTCATACATTAGCGAGTAAATAAACTACTAAATCATGATACAAGTTATGTTTACTTCAAACAAGCAGAGAGCCTTTGGAATGGTGGCTGTAAGCGACTAGATGATATTGGCATCTGCTAGTAATTGGCACCTCTTTTAATCTATAGGATGAAAACCTTACTTGTTAGTACATATATGAGTGCCGTCATGACATAAGAACCCAATCATGCAAACGTTCATGCAAACCGTGGTAGTATTTGAATGCTTCTCTTAACTTTTTATATGTATAGATCTTGTGCTTAATCCATTGGTAGTAAAACATGGGTGTAGGACAGATGAGGGTCAAAGGATTTTCCTAGGTACACTTGTGCTTATACTTGTCCTAGTTACACTTGAGTCCTAACACACAAATGCTTCCTTCAGTAGTGGTACCTTGCCTATCGTTCTACCCTATTTGCTGAATAAGTAATTCTGCGATATGAACTGTGCGTACTGCATGTATGTCCGTCAGTTTAAAATTGTTTACTAGATAGTCGATTTTTCCAGTGTTCTGTAAAGCCGGTTATTTCCTCTCACTGAGTAGTATGACTGTGGGTGTGGTAGACTATGCTGAATTTGCTTATCTCCTTGCGGCGTGTGGGCGTTACCACGCAATGCGGAGGTTTTGTTTTGTAATCAGATAACGTGGTTCCTACATAAAATGTAAGATGACCATTTTGTATGTGGAAGAAGCTATGAAGAATCAGATGTGTGACTTCTTCAAGCAGCGAGCTGATCCAACTTCATTGCGGCCGCATTGATTCTCTTATTGATAATGGTTGTTTCCAGGCCTGAGAAAATTTGCATCGGATACATAATTGAGCGCCCAAACAAAATGATTTATATCTAGCGCATAACAATAAAACTTCCAGGCGGCTGATCTCTCCCAAGGGACCTACCGCCTGATAATGAGCTCAGGGGCTAAACTCCTCGCTCTTTGTCTCTACAGACATTAAATTTATGTTCTCTGGTATGCGACTGAATGGATACATTGGAAGAAAAAGAAACTATGAAGCGTGCGATAATTGGGTGGTATGTGTTTAGAGGTCAGCGAACACCTGAATATCTGTCCGGCGGTCACCAGCTAGTTCTGGCAACTTGCTGTTTCTGGGGTCCCGTGAGATAGACAACTACGATTTAGTGTCAAAAATGAAGGCTTGAGTGATTATTTCTTTTTTAGTAATGGTGTATCATGAAGTGAAGACTAAGGTATGGTACTGTGTTGTAGCCTTTCGCTTGACTGTTGCTCCAGGATCATGTAATTAAAATTGTGCTTTAAGGATTAATCTGAATGGGCTTAGAAACTTCCAGTTTACTAGGGCATGATGATATTTGAAAGGTATCAATACTTGCAACTTTCCAGTGAAATCTGCCATTCTGAGAAGCTTGTCGTGTGCACCTGTGGTAGCAGCTAGCTTCTATCCACGAGTTCCAATTCCAGCTTAGACTAGCACTAAACGATGAGTCCACACAAGTATGAAACGCGTGGAAGAGTGCAAGGATAGGAAAGAGCAAAACTGAGATCTCTGTTTTTACTTGCAACAAATAACGTAAAAAGGAGCGGCTATGATTGTTTGAAAGTAGGCAGAAAACTTTAACATGCTAGCCACGGGAATCAGTCACGGCCTGCAGGTTACCTGAAAAGGCATAGCTAGGTTTGGTACGATGTGTCTAATGTGCTATATAACTCCAGCGTGGCTTCCTAGAACTTCACGGGAGTTTGGATAGACCAAGTTACTGGACGGTGAATTTCTTCGAGATATTAACACAAGTTGCATGAATCTATCTTTAAAGTTGATTAGATCGAGTCTGCTTGATTTGGTGCGTCCCGTAGGACAGTCATCAGACCATGCTCATCATCAATTATGCACGTTAGCTTCAGGTGAAGAACACCTCAGCTATTGTGCCGCAACATATTAGAAAAGAAAAAATATATGCAACTAAAGCACGTCGGTTGAGCCACCAGTAACGGATAAACATCGTTCCGGAGAGCTGACAACCCGCTATTGTGCAGAACAAAGTCAGATTATGCCCAATACTTGAGATCATGGTTGGAGGAGGAGGCTAAGCATTGGGGATAGACAAAGGAAATCACAACGCTATCGCCATTGAGGTCGGCTCCTAGCCATGTCAACTAGTGTATCCACCTAAACGTGTTCATCGTCCTTCGGTCCCCAAACAAAAACCGAGAGGATCCAACTGAGGCCAACCACAAAACAAGCGCTCTCAATCCTCTTGACCAAGTCATCGCTTGGCTAGCTCTCCTCTTCTTTCATGCGCACCCGCGGCACGCAAACAACGCACAACACGGGAGTCGATGGGCTGGCATGAGTAACACGTGCCCCAGCCTTCGGAGCTTGGTGCGAGAAATTACGGTGCTGAATAGCTCGCTTCTTTTTCCTGCGCTATAAAAACAAGGCGTCGAACACGCTTATTGCTCACACGGTGTTCCCACCAGATGTGAGCCACAGTGCGAAGGCACCGGCGGTCAAACTTTACTAGACCCTTTATTTCGGCTGCATCATCAAACCATACAAGTGATGGGCGCCAGAGACCGTCCGCTTGTTCCCAGAGTGCCAATCTACCTTTGACTTATTTTTACCCGCACCACTTGTACGAGGCAGGAGCGCGTGATTTTGAAGATTCCCAGGACACGGCTTAATTGTATGCTGGAATTCCTCTTCATCTTAGCCTCCACACCGATCATGACGTATGTCTAGTGAAATTTGTTGACTGTCACTTTCTGCTGGAAGAACTGTAACTACCCACAGATTACATCGAGGAAGTACTTAGAAGTTGTGGTCGTGCACAAGACCACATGCACCTTTTCAAAATAATGCCAAATTTGATAAGTTTACTTTGACCAGCATTTAGATTATGTAGGCCAAAGGTGATTATGCAGTGGAATGGATGAATCCAGCCTAGCCAAAACAATGAGGATTAAGAAGTAAACGCTCTCCATGGCATCAAACCGTGGTTCATTAGGCCGGAATTTGCAGTAGGAAACTGCTGATATCTCATCGTAAGCGAACTGCAATTAGTGGTGCAAATTTAATTGATTTTGTTTGCACAGCTTCATCAAGAAAACGGGAATCATAGGCAGCTTCATCCTAGTGTCAACCAAGATAGTAGACCTCTGACTCCTAATCACAGTAGGAATTGGGATCTCTGGTTCACTTCATTTATTCAGCACTGAGTAACAGTCCATGTCGGCCGAATGACAGTCAGACGAAAAGGTTAGGGAATTGTTTGACTTTAGGTTCTTATGTTAAATCGATTCCCATTGACTACCTGTCTGGTTTATAAAACTGCACCGTTTTCCACTTAAAACCTGACGCATATGTCTTCAAATTGTTACTATTCATAGTGATCATCGTTAAGACTCATATTTGTTGTCTTTAGTAAGACTAAAACGGAAACAATACCATTGCTCAACAGAGCAGTTACTGAGCCCATTAGGATGAAACGCTGAGGTGACTAATCGGGGAATTGGCCAGGAGAAAAATTAACCTCAGTCCAATGCTCAGTCTGGCTTGGACTTTTCACCACACTTAATAGGTGCGTCAGTCACAGCTGTGTGCCGGCTACTTATTTGTCGGTGCAGTCGAAAGAGAACTGATAATTACTTCACTTGGGTTTTTACCCCTTCTGTTCTTTGTGTTCGCTTACTTTTTCATCCATTTTCCCACCACTGTCTTGTCTTATCATTATTCTGAGCTGTAAAACGATAACTGACCCCAGGCTAGTTTTGCTCAACTAAACGCCGCATGCTACCCTGAGTGTCCAGGTGAAATGGACAGCGTTATCGCCCACCGCATCTGAAGCACTCATTAGAGTAGATCGCTAAGCATTACCCAGGATAAAATGAAACTTTCCTTCCAAGTAGAGTAGCCATAACACGAGAGGGAAATATTCCTAATTTAGTCTGTAGCCAGTGGTCTCTGGATCAAAAGCCTCAACCGCATAAGATACTTTGAATTCTTTAGCTTTCCGCGAAAGGTACTACTCATTCCATGAACCGATCCACGGCCGATTATATCACGAAGATGAGAGACCGTACAGTCAATCTGTTTAACTCTGCGATTCTAAGTCACCGGAAAAGTTGAATTTTACGTATTGGTCCGTACTTAACCACAAAAACGCTCTATTTTATTTAGTATGATCAATAGCAATTTCATAAGCATGACACTCAATACAACGACAAAAACCCTGCGTACGTTGTTGGTTAGATTGTTGGATATATGTTTTAACTTGCTCACACTTGCCGTTGCCAGTTAAATGAAATCAACTCGGTCTGTACTGTACAGACGCAAGAATAACTGCGTAACACTCGTAATGTATGTGTAAAAGAGCAATTCGGCATTTTGCTGACAATTACCATCAAAATATAGTAAGTAGGAATTTAGTGGCCGCCCTAATTTTTCTGTATAGTGAAATAAGCTTAGAACCGATCGGAAAGTCAATGTTTCAGAAAAGGTTGGAATTCTATCGGTTATAGCAGTTACTGTGTATTGCTTCGCCTTTGACGAAAATGCAATGAATCTGTCATAGTTCATAACGAATTTAAGCAAATTTGGCTACCAATTTGTGCTAGAAAGCAGTTGCTGAGGTATATCCAGCTGTCATTTTAAGTAGGCTATTGACAGGAGACTGATAAGGTGACAGGTGGAAGATTGCTTTTACAAATAAAATGTTGGTTTTGGGGTGGGTTAGAGCAAACATTCTGGATGTTAGTTGTTTCCACCTACGCTAATCAAACTCAGCAGAGTGGGCCTGGGCATCAGCAATTCAATAGTCACTATATCTACTCTAGTCATCCGGTTGCTTATTGACGAATTGCGCCTACTTAATAATTAGTCGCGTGGTGTTGATCGTAAATCCCCTGATGTCACGGCTTCTTCGAAGTCGTTTTCACCTCTTGTGTCTATTGCACACGCAGCTGCTCTCTGATCTCTTAGTGGAGCTAGGTATTCAGAGTGATTTGTCGGTGGTCGCGACATGCGTCTCCCACATGCCGAACTTCTCGAGATCAGCTCTTTTCCACTGAATTCCATGTAGAATGTACACAGTTTTGGTATAGGATTTAATAGGCGCTGTTTGCTATCCTGCTCACACGAGAATCTTTCAAGTACGTCGAGGTCAGTTGTGGCTTTTGATGTTGCCAGAAACTGGCGGATGTATTTTTATTCAGCAATCTACGAGTAGCTGCTGAGGTTCCTCCGATATATCGGATTCCTCCGCTTACCACCATCACTGTAGTTGGTGCTGGAAGTTGACAAACTAATTGCTGTGACCAGTGTTTCATCCATAGCCATACACATCCGCTGGTTATTAGGTCTGTCATTGACTCTCTTCTAGTGGCCTTTTATCCCTGTTCTTGGTATGCGACTCTCTTGCTTCGTACATTGGTAATACAGCGAATTCTGTATTAACCTACTACGAGTGATCCGCATCATATCTTAGTACCATATCAGCGTCGGTCGGTTTGCAATGTATTGTTGACTTAATGTCTATCATTTACAGTAGATTAGACAATCAGAGAACATAGGTGTGCCCCATGCGCTTCTGTTATCACCTAAACTTATCGCTTCAATAATTGAGCTTACTTTGCGTACATTCTATCTTTTATAATCGCAACTGCAGCAGCTACGTTTTGTTATAATACTCTCAGGACACCAGGGAAAGTTTGATGTGCGCTTTTCTCAAAGAAGTTTACGTATATATTTGCTAACAGGCGAGGTCTTGTAGGATCCTTTGGTAAACCCTTGTTTTTTAATTCATGTTCTCGACTGAACGGCAAAGCAAAATATCAAGACACAAGAGTTTCATTTGTTTGACAAACTGACAGACAAGTTCAGTCAGCTGTACTCTTGTCCCAATCAGACAACTGACAGTATTAACGCCTCTTCTTTGAGCACAGTATTAACAAACAGTACTATTGAAGCCTTCCATTAACTCCGCGAACTCAACGTTTAAAACTTACTCGGTTGGTAAAAATATAACATTCCTACCTACAAATGTATTTTCCCCTTTGTGGATGGAAGTGGGTCTGCTAAGTAACCGGCCAATTCATGAACGGGCTGGTTTAAGCCTTCACATTTTGTGTATGCAATACTATGCTGCAAATCGTTGGCGGGAGAGTTAAATTCAGATATATGCTGTGCCATTTAGTTTGTCTCAAGTTGTCCCTCATAGTCCTTATGTATCAAGCTGCCTTTACATTATTTTTGTTCACCAAAGTTCACTTCGTCAAGTGCCAAATCAACTAATGGTTAAGTACTCTTCCAACTTTCCCAAGTGGTTTGTTCAAATGTTCATGTGATGTAATATCTTTGTGAGCTATTGTGAGGATTCTCTACCTGCTGCACTATTCAGCTGCATAAAATTATTACAGCGCCAGTGATTCTACAATGAAACCTTTTACTAAAAGTTCACAAACTGTTCCATTCTCCTTACCGATCACAACTCAAAGCACTGGGAGCTCCCATAGCAATCAGCCTAAATTTAACTGAAAACGGGATGGTATGGAACTAATGTACAACTACCATATCATTACGCAACTTAAATGACAGTAATGCGACACCAAGCGGTATTAAAAACTGTGAAATATGGCTTGGTATAGTAATTGATTTGCTTCTCATTTGGATTGCGGTAACCACCCGTCAATTTTGTTGCATCTTACCAACGTTCAGAAGAAGTCGATAACACACATAGCCCGTCAGTTACTATAAACCGGTACTACACGGATCTTATGATAAACGAACATAACGCATACAGATCAAACCTGTCACCCATGGCTCGGTTGTCTAGTTCTTTGTAAAGTAAGAGAATATTTGCTGGTCTGGGTTCCACGGAGAAAACATGTGCTTTTGCTACGCTGCAATAAGACGATACGTTTAGTTTGCACTGTGCATAAATTG